CAAACAAGAAATGTGAAACCACTGTCAAATAAACATCTCAGACTCACCTTATTAATTATTATTATATTTAACTTCAAACCATAGGCTAATATACCAGTCCAAAATTTTTGAACAGTAAAATTTTTAATGTTTTTTTTAAAGAATTCTCTTCTGCTCACCAAGCCTGCATTTATTTGATCCAAAATACAGCAAAAACAGTAACATTTTGAAATATTTTTACTATGTACTATGTTTTCTATTTGGAAAAATGTAAAAATGTAATTTATTTCTGTGATTTCAAAGCACAATTTTTTGTATCATTACTCCAGTCACATGATCCTTCAGAAATCATTCTAATATTCTGATTTGCTGCTCAAAAAAACATGTATTATGTTGAAAACAGCACATAATTTTTTTCAGGTTTCTTTGATGAATAGAACGTTTAGGAGAACAGCATTTATCTGAAATCTTTTGTAACATTATAAATGTCTTTATCATCACTTTTGATCAATTTAAAGCATCCATGCTAAATAAAAGTATAAATTTCTATAATCCCCCCCCCAAAAAAAATTTTTTTTTAATAAATTATACTGACTCCAAGTTTTTGAATGGTATAGTGTATAATATTACAAGAGCTTATTTCAAATAAATGCTGATCTTTGGATCTTTCTATTCATCAAAGAATCCTGAAAAGAAAAATGTACTCAACTGTTTTAAATATTGATAATCCGCAAATCAGCATATTAGAATGATTTCTGAAGGATCATGAGACACTAAAGACCGGAGTAATGTTGCTGAAAATCCAGCTTTGGTCACAGCAATAAATTACATTTTAAAATATAGGCCTACTGAAATATAAAGCAGTTATTTAAAATAGTAAAAATATTTCAAAATTTTACTGTTTTTGCTGTACTTTGGATCAAATAAATGCAGGCTTGGTGAGCAGAAGAGAATTTCCTAAAAAAAATTGTTTTTTTAATCTTACTGTTAAAAAAATCTGTGACTGGTAGTGTAGGCTGATTATTCTTATAGATTGAAACAAATGTGCTTCAGCCAGGATAGAGAGTATGAAAAGTGCTCCGAGTTGCTGCAGAAAACAAAAAATTGAGCAACAGCAAACATGTTGCTGTCTGCCAGCAGGAGGTGCTTTGAGAGCGGTAGAACTAGCGGTAATGGCTAGTAACGGCTGTAATCAAAGCAGCTCAGCTCATGAATTCTACTGTATCAGATAAAATAAAAATGCCATCGAAACTTTTCTGAAGACAGTCGGTTTCCTTCAGAGATACATTCATGTAAAACACCCGCGTCGCGTTTTGATTTTGAAACGTGCAGAGCTCGTGTTTTTTTCAACGAAATCAAAGACCACAAAAACGGGACAAGTTTTCTAAACTACATTTGAGTTTCGATTCTTATCACCTGACGTCTGCGATTTTCATGTACCAATTCGGACGGGACTAACATCTCCATGTTTATTACAGAGGTGGGAGGGTCCGTTTTGTACATCTGGGCGTCACAGAGATCACGTGCTCTGTATGCATGCATTGCGTATAGTCATTCAGATTGATTACCATTTAGTATAATCACACAAATACCATGGTGAAGCTAAATGGCTAGTATAGCATAACCATATTAATGTGTGGTTAATTTAGTTGAACTTTTATTTTTTTATTTATTTGTAGTAAACCCATGTTTAATTTTCATAAAGGTACATATGTAATTAAAACATTATGTAATTGAGTCATAGACTGTATAAAAATATGGACGTAGTGTCCGTCATGTCACCCGTAGTTTTCTGAAGAGCGTTTTTGAAGCTCAAAGTGGGCGGAGCGGGCCGTCGCCATCTTGACAGCGCGTCACCGCATGTCACTCCCGGATAATCGAAAATGGGCAAAAAGGCAGGAGCTGGTTGCTGAAGCCACATCCACCTAGCTCGACGGCACTGTCAGCAGCGGCAATCCACCTGTCACTCAAGTGGCCACGCCCTTAATTATGCAGAACTTTAAGGCTTAATATAATTTAATCGGATGAGTTATAAAAAAATTCACCCCCCCCTCACAGTTGTCATGAAGGGCAAAATTAGCTATATAGACCAAAATCATTTTTTGAACCAGGCTGTAAACATGTTTTTTTCTGCTGTAAAGTTGGCCATTTTAACATGGGGAGTCTATGGGATTGACTCCCTTTTGCAGCCAGCTTCTAGCGGCCAGTTGACGAATTACAGTTTAAGTCACTTCCGTGTTGGCTTCACGAGAGAGAGAGCGGGAGGTTACCGCTTGAATTGAGTGCAGAAATGAATGCGAGTATGAACTTACCTGATGCTGATATTACAATAGCCAGTCTTAACAGTTTACGTGATCTGGCTCTTGATTTTATTATTGCTATTTTTGTTTTATTTCTTTGCCGGGAGCCAAATATATCAAGCCTCTAATTGATGTTGGCCAAAACACACAAGGAAACGCGTTGTGAAAAAAAATATCACTGGCAATCACAGACATTCGCTTTCGGACGGGATTAGTTTTCTCAGAGGATCACAGAGTTTTAGGGCTGGGTAAAAAATATAGATATCTCGATATTAATCAATTCTCTTTTTTACGGAATGATATTGATTCTTAAATCCCAAGAATCAATTAGTCTAGCCTGTTTTCAGTTAATGGATGGAACATTGAAGGGTACTTCCCATCCAATATATCACAATAAGCATTGTGCTTTGGTACTTTTATATGAAAAAGTCTCAGACTTCAAATTATGTCCATTGTATTGCAGTACTCAAACAATAAATGTTGTTTTGGCACTATTTAATGTGGAGTGACAGATCGCTGTAGCGCCTCAGTTCAACAGACGCGGCAACGCGAGGTGCACGTGAAGTGATCATCTCCTCCACATTAATACCAGCTTCAGCACAAAATAAACATGACTAAACATCCGAAGGCAAGTTAAAAGAAAGAGTACAACTTTACAATCCGTATCCTGTCTCATGTAACAGCTCAATCAGCGTTTCCTCTGTGCAAAGATGTCAATATAACGTCTTGTAAACAATGTAACAATGTCACATTTACCTCAGAAAAACATATTAGGTGACCATAAACTCATTAGTCAGATAGAAAAATAAACTGTAGAGAGGGGCATTTTGCTAAATATATGCACTATATAACATATTCATTATAATTTTTACTGTTCTTAAATGTTTAATTTATGTTTGAATAAATCCATCAAGTTTTTATGACAGCCACCATTATGTTTATATATATATATAAAAGAAAAGAATTGAAGTAGAAATATTATGTAATTGTAACTTTATTTTAAAAACTCCATTAAGAGTAATTTTAACAAATCAGTCAATTTTAACCTTCAATATTATAGTAATTTAGTACCAACTGTGATTTTTTTTTCCTTGAGAAAATTTGGCATGTACTGTACCAGACATATATCCAAAATAATCGATATTGAATCGAATCGAATCAAATTTGTAATCGAATCGAATCACAAGCTTGTGAATGAGAATCGAATCGAATCGTGAAATTTGTGTCAAAACCCAGCCCTACTGAGTTTGCTGAAAAACAGTAGGTAATTTGCTCTGGAATTATTACAGAGGTTGTGTGAGGAAAAACACAGACGTGGCAGATTCGGACGGGATTAAATACGTCGGTGAAACACAAATTTCTCAACCCCCTCTAAAACTAGTCCCGTCCGAATAGGGCTTTAATCTAACATGACATGTCCAGATTCTTAATAATGGATCATAATTTCTACATTCATATTTTCAATGCTACATTCACAATGCAAATCCATTTAAGCAGCAGGCAAATGTCTCAGGCATGTAGGTCAAATCCCTACATCTACATAAGAAAAGCAGAGAGAAATATGTAAGTTAGTCGAATTAAGCTAGTAGCAACTTACTTTTAGAAAGAAGGCACTAAAGCAACACTGATGAGCAATTATTTTACCTGCTCATGTTTCTAGGCCTAGCCGGAATCTGTGCCTGCAAAACTCCAGATTTCCACAGAATGGGAACACCCATCATTCACAATTCTTCACATTTCTTGCCTCTTGTATTTTAAAATACTCAACACAGAATTCCATAGATTTTTCTTGATCTGAATATAACTTGAAAGCAGAATCTAATTTGTCCGTATCTGGTCCTGTAATTCAACATTTCAAAGTACACCAAAACTTCTCTTGCATTCTCTTTTTAGTCAGCGAGCATCCCAGATTGAATATGACAACTTCTTTTTAGTGTGCACTGCAGTGCTGGAGACTTTTAACTGTCCAAAAAAGGGACACAAAGGAGACATTGAAGCAAAAATCACCTGATGGAGTGGGAATGTGCAGATGAAGCTGAAAGCCCTACCTGATACATATAACTCTCCAGATTGGCCTGGTGAACTGCCAGGCCTCCAAACATACTATAATTTACTGCTTCCTGAGGGCATAAAAGGAGGAGGAGAAAGAGCTTGGGGAAAGTGCCAGAGCAACACAGGAGCAAAGACATTTTGGGAAAGGAGACACTAGATAACTAAGAGGGTACAAGGTAGCATCCAGAAGAGGTTTACGCAGCAATGCTATAGAAAATCCATTTTAGTTTTTTAGTTTCCCCAAATAACATATAAGTGAACAGTTCTTAAAAGATACATTTTTTAGTTTAAAGAACTTGAATAACCTAACCGTTAATTTTTTTATTATAAAGAACGAAAAGATTCTTCATGGAACCATTAATGGCAATAAAATAAAATAAAATAAAAACTTAATTATGTGTAAATGGCAAAAAGAAAATTTAATTAGAAAAATCTCTAGATGATTCAATGCAGAATTGCATTGCAGTAGACTGCTATCAAAAGCAAAATCCTTCTTTTCCACCCCCCCCCAAAAAGTAAGTAAATTCACAGATGTTTATTACGAGAGATCTGAGGCCTGATTCAACAAGCTAGCAGTCAGTCCCCAAAACAAAACAGGTTATGACAGCTCTTTAGCACAGATTAAGCAGGTTAGTCATTGGTCAACACAGTAAAAGCAGGCAGTCTTACCCTGCGAGGAGGCTGTTGGCTCAGGTCTGGGAACAGCAGGAAGCGGTCTCTGAGAACAAGGCTGGCAGGACGGCACTGACATTTTCACAGGTCCCACATACTGCACGTACGTCCCTGGAAAGTCTCCCCTCTGTTTGGTTCGCTCGTTAAAGCCCAAGATCCAGCCGATGCATTCTGGGTGCTCCTCCTCTCCCTCTTTGATGCCCAGTGACAGCAGAGACGCTTTGTCGACCGTCAGGACATCACCAGGCTCAAGGTCAATGTCATCCTCCCAGTCCTTAGAGTAGGAGTACAGAGATCTGTACTGGAAGCCATCGGCAGCCATTTTCAGAGTATGAACTGACAGTCGGACTGGGGATGAAACTTTGCGAGGGTGCAAATGATGTTGTACCGTGGGACGTTTGGTTAAAAGCTAAGCACTTCTGACCGGAGCTCATAAACGGGCATGCGCGGTAGCAACAGCTTAGACCTGACCGGTGTTGGCCGAGCAGGCCACTTTTCTCAACTTGAACCCACGGTTCAACCAAATGATGGAACAGAGGAAATGCAGCATGCTCATTCAGGCTCCGGAAAAGAAATAAAGAATGAAGTCCTTCACAGATTTATTTTGCCAAATCAGCTGGTGTCGTCTTATAGCAGGTTGCTCAACATTCCCTCTCAAGATGTGATCCTCCCAGTGTAACGGGATAACTGTATGGAAAAAAGCAAGTATATTAAGAGTAAAACACTAACACAAAGTCTTTCTAAAAGAATAACAATAAAATAATCACAACAACTTAACAGTCGAGCTTCAGCAAGGCTTTGCATAGTCCAGTTACAGCCTTCATCTCGGTCGAAGTATACATGACAGAATGCGCAGTAAAATATTCAAAGCATTAAATAAGCGTTGTGCGTCACCTCTGTCTTTCAGAGAAAATGCACAATGCCGAGGCCAATTGTAGTCTGATTAAACATGCTGGACAAAGACTTAGGTCTGTTAATCCGACTTCACAAAAACAGGAAGAATTTTAGTCGGACTGAAGTGTTTACATTTTTAAAATACACATTTTTTAACAATCTGACTGAAATCAAACTTGTATTAATGCACTAAACATGATGCACCTCATACATGCGTCATATGATTCGTAATTCGTAAGACCAGGTGAATTTTTAAACTCCAAAGTCTTAAAGCAAACAAAACCCAAGGAACAACCTTACCTTGAAACAATTAAAGTCAGAAATATCAAAGCCGTTAATGTCGCAGTTAGTAACCAAATATTTCAACTTCAGCAAATAATCAAAAAGATAACTGCCTAAAAAAAAAATAGCATGTTTTTGGGAATAGCATTCCTGAATGAGCACAGGTCACTTAAGTTTCAAAATAATCCAATATGACGTCCATATTATTCCAATTATTACAGTACGCAGTTGATATTAAGCACATTTGCAATATGCATCACTTATATGACGGAATGGCTAAACGTATAATTTTTTTCATGCGCATGCGCACCTTCGAATTAGGGGCTTATGCTCATATACCAATAAAGTGGCATTTTAAAGGATTGCCGACCCCGTGGAAAGATTGCATTCTAATAAACAACGTCAAAGTGTTCGCAGGCATCACAAGGCAACACTCACCCCACTTTGACCAGGCGCACTAGGGTCTCAGTCCAACATCCTCTGTGTGGAGAAGAGAGGTGCAAGCGCAGACACGTGGCACTGACATACCCAACCACAGCCCGCAATCCTCACACCACCGAAACACCCCCTCCGAAACACGTCATCCCCCTTTCCGCCTTTTCATCATTATAACTAAAGTATTTCATGTACTGAACTGTACGACGGAGTTCATTCAGGAAAAAAAAAAAGTCCATTCTGAGTCTGAGTGCTAAAACTAAAAGTTCTGCTGAGAGAAATCCTCATCTTTACAGTCAAGCACACTGCTTAAACTGCAGGACGACAGCTGACGGATTCGTACGCATCCTTTCCTCCTCTTTATTCAGTCTGAGCAGAGCAGTTGGCAAAACACTGTGACCAAGGCAGAGCACAAAATAATTAATGAATCGAGGCAGGAAACTCACTGTTGCTACAGAAGGGAAAAGGTAATCCTGTATTCCTATTGGGCAGCATATGGCCATGTGCTCAAGAATCACCAGAGAAGCTGGGGCAAATCAAGCAAACGTTCTAATATTAGAAAATGTATCTAGGCAGTGATCAAACCCTAAACCTTTAAACTATACTGCTTCTCTGCAGTGGATAACTTTTTTTGCTCATTATAGGAATATGTTTATGCCTGTATGACATGTTTTAAGTATTCTGAATGAGAAACAAGCAAAGCAAAATCTAAATGTTTGTTGGGTGAGGCTTGTCTAATCAGGACTATGGCACATTATCATCATAATGATCATTCAAACACAGGGGAAAGGACTGGATTCTGCTTGGGCTTCTGCTGAGAAAACATGATCAGGATACTCTGTCATATTGTGCATGTCTTCAGCCTCAGGCTACCAAGGTAGGAGTTTTAATCCATCCACGAGACCCGTCTTAGTTTTAAGAAATTAGGACAGTCACAGTATTTGTTGAGAAGGAAAACGATGAGCCTGTCTGAGTACGGAAAACTTATGCAATATTTTTTTCCTCTCTCATTTCATTGGCCGAAGTACCTTGACTAATGCCCATGAGTCTGGTGACAGACAGTGTTCTCCAAACAATATGTCCTTTTAAAGCCTGGAGTGTGCAGGACTGAAGGAACGGCATCCAGAACATACCCTCTGGATATATGGCATGCAATGGTTCAGATAAGGACAATGTTGCTAATTAAAGTTAAAGTGGGTCTTTTTATTTTAAAATACGTTCTCAAGTTAATGTGCGGCCAACTATTAGTAAGCCATTACAGTTCATTCCCATGAAAAATGTAAACACTGTAGTGCTTTCAAAACATTGCTCTGTTTGTTTGAGCATCCTGACAAGCCCAACACAGCAACACTGGCTCAACCAATGGTGTAACTCTGGAGGCGGGACTACTCGCTTGGCAGATGAGAGAAAAATTATTGCTCTTACATTTCTTAACTATTGTCACGATGACAAGATGTTTGCACAGTTCCTATAATTTTTTTTACAATGTTACTTTACAAATTATTTAGAAGAGTAATCGGAAATCAAGATGAAACAAAAGCAGCAACAGATCTTTCATATTGTGAGATACATCCGAGTGTAACAAATTATTGAAAAGAAGAGGACTTGGTTCTATCAATTGGCTATTGATTGGATTTTGAAATTTTTTTTATCGGATTATGGATAAATAATTCGCAAGGTGCGGCAAACTTTAGGCAAAATTAAGCAGGTAAAGAAGCTCCATTGTCCGTTATCAATAAAGTGGCAATGCATTACTTCCAACCTAATCAGCTTTATATCGGTAATTTGCATGTTCAAAGTTTTCCAAACTTGAATCCAATGCAAAATATTTCCCCTCGAAATTTCAGATTGTGCATATTCCTATTCAGATGACAGCATTTTGCCATACGAAGGTAGATAACATTTACATTTAGTCATTTAGCATATGTTATGATATGATATTAGATAAGGCTGCAGCTTTATATCTATAACTTGTAATCTCAAAATAGCTAGGGTGAATTTTCATTTTCGTTTCATGCTGCTTTTGAACAGAAATGTATAATTTAGTATATTACTTCTTCGCTTAGCTAAAGCAATCTTAACGAGACGCAAAGCACAGACTAATAAGGCCTTTACACTTGGTATTAAAGGGGTCATATGATGCTTTTTTTAAAGATCATTATTTTGTGTATTTGGTGTAACAGAATATGTTGACATGCTTTAATGTTCAAAAACCACATTATTTTTCAAATACTGTACATTATTGTAGGTCCTCTATGCCCCGCCTCTCTCAAACGCTTCGTTTTCAACAAAGTCCCTCCTTCCGACAAGCGCAGTCTGCTCTGATTGGCCAGCTGACCCAGTGCATTGTGATTGGCCGAACACCGCAAGCACTCGTTGGAAATGTAACACCCCTTACCATAATCACGAGCTTCATCTTTCAAAATAAATGTAAAGACAGAGCCCGAAAGGGGAACAGAGTCTCGTGACACAGTGATGAAGCTGGTATGTGTTTGCAGCACACAAGCCACGGTTAAGACAGCTGACTCCACTGAGATGTGACGCTGTCTCTCTCCACACACACACACACACACGATGCGCAAAACTCCGCATTTGAACAGTCAATAGCAAATACTTAAACTAATAACAAAACAGTAGCTGATTCAGAAGCGCCAGATTGTCATAGCAAAGTCAGAATTACCTCCTCTCCTAGGTTCACGAAACGGTCGTCCATAAAATGCATTGCTGTTCTGTTGTAAGTCATCTTAAAGATTTCTAAATGCATCTACTTTCGGAAGGCCAAATAAAGTGCTTTTGCTTTCGCCTAGAAACACACAGCGTCTCCCTGACATGGCTGCTTCAACACTAACTGCGGTTACTGAAACCACGGCTTCTTTCTTTGCGTGAACATTTGGGCGGCATTATGCAAATATTCCCACATAGTGAGGTAGATATGTGGGGGCGTGCTAGAACGAGACATTTTAGGGGGGCGTGGCAGAGTCTTAACTTTGATAAAGAATATCTCTTTGGATTTGAGACTTTAGTCTTTGCAACTTCAGGGATCTTATCTATGCACAATCAGCTTGTAACACTTTAAAGAGAAAGGAAAACTTGAAATCGCATCATATGACCCCTTTAAGATGCGTTTTGGTCGATCGGATCACAAGTGGACAACGCTAAATACAGGTGTAAACAGGGTGTGAAATGTTTTGAGCTTGTCCACTTTCGACCACTACTAGAGGTACACGTTAGTCGAAAACGCATTCGACCGGACTCCAGACAGTGGAACGGAGCGACAGAGATTGACCCTCCGGCTCCGGTTCCACTCCGGGTTTTACATTCCCCTCTCCTGGAACAATCCTGAGAGAAACTCGCTCTGAAACAAACTGGCTATATCTCAAACAAACAGTGAAAAATCCTTGTGCTGTTAAACTAAAAGAATCAACACTACCACCATAACTTAACTAATCTAGAGCTAACTGCTGTATAAGGCGTCGAATATAAGCGGTGACTGACAAATGGACACTTCAAATTCAGAAGGGTCTAAATCTGGATTTAAAAAGTTGAGTTTGTGGCATAAATACTAAAGTAGGTGCTCGAGTCGTGTCACGCGCTGCAGCTCTTGCAGGCTGTTAACTGTGTATCTGCTGCCTTGATCAGGCAAGGCGAACATGCTTCTGCATCATGCAGACCAAACGCATATCGGTCTGCACATTTCTGTCGCCCACTAAATCCGCGATCTTAGCAAACGGCTTCTTCGAAATTTTGCGATAAAACGTTGGCTTGTCGTTAGAAGCAAACAAGTCCGTGTTTTATATGTCGTAGCAGCACACTTCGCGTCTTTTCCACCATTTGGAGGCTGCTAGCTAGCCATCCCGTTTAGTAGAGTAAAGTAACGCAATGTGCAAAACTTGGGAAAACTTACCCGTGGCAAATCGTTGCAAAAGCGTTGACGGTTTTCTTTCGCGCGTGCGAATAAATGTGCGATCCTAACTCTCGGCCGGACTCAGGTTTTCAACTCCCATCTACTCCCTCGGCAGAGTACAGGACTGATTTCTTTTTCCTTTTCATTCCGCACGAATCTTTTCAACTTGCCGACCTGCCATTTTCCAGCGCAGCGCGGAGCAGGACAGGGCTGCGTGAGAACTAGCGAGAGCGGGACGGAGAATAGCGGAATGAACCGAAAACGTCCGAAAGACTACATCTCGGTTAACACATGAAGCGTTCATCATTCCTGCACTCTCTATTGCGCCATCCCGCTGTGGTGAAGCGAGGTAGTGTAAAAACCCGTTCATAAAAATGTAGACCTACAAGTGATAAAAATAAATAAATAACCATCTCAAATTACGCTATCCTTTCAATTGCCTATTAGGCTTGTTTTATCATTTATCAGAGTACCGAGACATTTAAGTAATTTAACAATTTCAAACACTATTATTTTATGCAGCAGGCCAATGTCTTTAAAATATATGTGATATATGTAACTCTCTATATAAAATATATAAAATGTAAAAGTTTGGGTCCAGTAATTTTATTTTAAATAAATCAATGGTGTTATTCCTCAATGATTAAACTGATTAAAAGTGGCAGACTTTTGTATTGTTACAATACAACTATATTTCAGTTAATGCTGTTCTTTTGAACTTTCTATTCATCAAAGAATCCTGAAAAAAACAAGTCCACAAAAATATCGCTCAGCACAACTGTTCTAAACATTGATAATAAGAAATATTTCTTGAGAATTAAATCAGCATATTAGAAGGATTTCTGAAGGATCATGTGACACTGAAGACTGGAGTAATGGCCGCTGAAAATCTAGCTTTGTCATCACAGGAATAAATTATACTTTATAATAGTTATTTTAAATTGTAATAATATTTCACAATATTACTGTTTTTACTATATTTTGATCATAAATAAATACAGCCTTGTTGAGCATAAACTTAATGATTTTTAAAAAATCATACAGACCCCAAACTTTTAATTTGAATGGTAGTGTATTATAATAATTTCTGGAGGTAGTTAATATACCACAAGCCACTAGTGCTTAAAACATGCATGGTCAAAGCACTGAAACATGATTATCAGCAATTATGTACACATTTAATCATGGTTAAATCCAAACTTTACAAATACATTGAGCGTGAGTGGATTTAGTTGAGAGTCTAGGATCTTTTTGAGTCCATGGCTGTGGAAAGAACTGGATCAACTGTACAAATTCAACTTAAAACAAAACACTACAGTACCATACAAAAGTAAATGAAGGTAGTATGTGAACTCAAGGAAATAGTGCCACACAAATCTGAAGTACAGAAGAAGAGAAAGACAAGTCAGACTGGGAGTGCAAGTATCTAAACTTCGTCTTCTGTCTCTTTAGTTTTGATTAATGAATGAGGAAACAATCCAGTTTAAGCAAACCATTACATAGAAAGCTCATGTTACTCGTAACTGAATCATTTCTGTGTAACCAAACAAGCAGATGTCAAGACTTCAGAAGGCTATAATGCAGATTTAAACTATGGCATTTATATAGGGTACTCACAAAAACATGCCATACAGCTGTTGTGTGAATTCAAGAGAACAGACATTTCCACAAGTCAGACTACAAAACACTAAAAGACAGACACTATTTGTTAAAGATTACACATGTCAAATGAGTTCAGATGTACAACACTGCTAGAACACATACCGAATCCAACACATTATAAATAAAAAGTTGTCATCAAATTAGTATTCATAAACCATTTTGTTCTTTCTAAGTAATGAGAACAAGTATGCTCAGGTAAACATGATACTCTACAATGCCAACATTGGCCAAATGGCTTCTTACAAGTCATTGTTTAGGTGCTGGAATATTATTGGGTGTGACTGACTGAACACAAGACTTCATCCAAACTTGCAAAAATAATATTAGTCAACATATATTAACTACATTTTGTTGACCACTCAGACATGACATTATATGACAATATTACTGATATTTATGAGAGATGAGAATGAAAAAAAACAACAGTAATTGAACCTCAGCAGGACCACATATGTGCAAATTCTCAGAAAGCGATCCTACTGTATGATCTTTCTATTACCGTCTTTCAAAATCTACAAAAGTTAATTGTGCTACCTGGTAAAACAAATTCTTAAAGGTATAATCTACCCAAAAATGTAAATGCTGTCATCATTTACTCACGTCATTCCAAACCAGTATGACTTTCTTTGGGTGGAACACAAATGCCAGCAATATTTTAAAGGAATAGTTCACCCAAAAATGAGGGCGAGAAATGATGAATAAATGTTCATGTTGTTCCACACCTGTGTAAGTTCCTTTCTTATGTTGAACACAAAAGAAGATATTTAGAAAAATTTAGAAGAACCAAACAGTTGTTGGTCCCCTTTGACTTCTATAGTAGGGAAAGAAATAAAATGGAAATCTATGGGGACCATCAACTGTTTGATTACCAGCATTCTTCAAAATATCTTCTTTTATGTTCAACATAAGAAAAACTCATACAGGTTTGGAACGAGTGAGTAAATGGCAACATGTTTGGGTGAACTATCCCTTTAAGATGGCTTTTGTCCATACAATGAAAGTCAATGGGGTCCAAAACAAACACAGGCATTTTTATGTTCTACAGACGAAAGAAAGTTTACAACAATATGAGGCTGAAAAAATGTTGACAGAATTTTCATTTATAGAAAACTATCAATTTAAAAGACAGTTTGGTAGGTGAATGACTTCTAACTTACGAAAATGACACTAAACAAAGACTCCCTAGTCCTGTCTTTTCTCTGATTATGATTTTAATGATAATGGAAGCACCCGTACATCTGAGTCTCACAGTTTTTTGGACTTATCGAAGGCTAACAGCCATCCTCTGGTTTATTCTGTTCTTTTAGCTTGGATCCAAGCTTGTCGGTTTTCCTCGCTGAAGTCTCAGAGCTTCCCTCTGCCTGTGTTGTGCCGATCCATGCCGCTTTGAAACGTGGATGAGATGGCACTGGTGTAGATGTTGTGACCTCCTTGTCATCAGAGTCATCAAAGCTGACCTCCTGAACAGCTTCCTGCTTCTTAAATGAATCTCGTCTCTCAGACAAGTTTAGCTTCCTCATAACCGCACCGCCGGAGTCCCTTGCTCGTTGGCCAGCCAGGTACAACCCTTGCCTAGCATGGTCACCGACACACACAAAACCTGAGGCAATGTCACTAGTTTGTGACTCGAGTCCCTCAGCTTCACTCTGGGGAACTTCCACAGTGTGTCTTCGAGTGGAGAAGGCCTTTTTGTCTCCATGTTGGGCACCGGAGGGCCTCTCAGATGAATGAACCCTGTTCAGCAGTGGCGAACGAGGTGATTCTGCACTGCGGGGACACACCGTCTGTCTCACGATGGTCGGCGGGGACATCATCTTATTATGAAACGAGTGGAGGCTTTTAGGAACTCCGGTGAGGGAAGATGGAGAACACTGTGGAGACAGAGGCTGTGAGGAGGGATTGCAGGCGAGGGGAGAGGGGGGAATACTGTTGGTGGACTTGCAGCGGCCTGCTTTGCTATAGCGGAGGCCAATCTTGGATCCCAAAACGTGAAGGGAACTTGGTCGACTTTGAGGGATGGGTGAATTCGGAGAGCTTGAGCAGGGTGAAGAACTCTGTGGAGAGTTTGAATCTGTGGAGAGAGTACAAACAATGCTAATCACTGACATACTACTTAAAGGGGTAGTTCACCCAAAAATGAAAATTCTGTCATTAATTACTCACCCTCATGTCATTCCAAACCCATAAGACCTTTTTTTAAAAAATATTTTTGATAAAATCTGAGAGCTCTCTGACCCTCCGTAGACGGGAATGCAACTGAAATGTTCCCAGGTCCAGAAACGTAGCAAGGACATCGGTAAAATAGTTGTCCATGTGACATCAGTGGTTCAACTGTAATTTTACGAAGCTACGAGAATACTTTTTGTGTGCAAAGAAAATAATAATAATATAATTTATTCAACAATTCAGTTACCGTCTTCCGCCATTTTGGAGAGTACCCCAGAAAGTAATCAGCGTTGTTTACATTCAGCATGCGCGCGCTGTCTACTGAATGTAAACAACGCTGATTACGTTCTGGGGTACTCTCCAAAATGGCGGAAGACAGTAACTTGGGGAGAAGAATTGTTGAATAAATCATGTTATTATTGTTTTCTTTGCGCACAAAAAGTATTCTCATAGCTTCGTAAAATTACGGTTGAACTACTGAACTATGGACTATTTTATCGATGTCCTTGCTATGTTTCTGGACCTGGGAACATTTCAGTTGCATTGCTGTCTATGGAGGGCCAGAGAGCTCTCAGATTTAATCAAAAATATCTTAATTTGTGTTTCGAAGATGAACGAAGGTCTTACGAGTTTGGAACGACATGAGGGTGAGTAATTAATGACAGATTTTCATTTCGGGTCAACTAACCCTTTAACAAATTAAAAATGAAATCTTTTTATTTATTTATTTAAAAACAATTAATAAAAAACAATTTACAGTTTAGTGCTCTAATGCTCCTCCAAACAGTGTAAAAATTATATACATTTTATATATACACTACGGTTCAAAAGCTTAGGACTGTTAACATTTTTTTATGTTTTTAAAACATTAAATGCGCACCAAGGCTGCATTCCTTTGATCAAAAATACAGCAAAATTGTAATAAAACAATGAACTCTTAATGTATTATCAAAATTAATTATTCCTGTGACAACAAAGCTGAATTTTCAGCAGCCATTATTTCAGGATTCAGTGTTACATGATCCTTCAGAAATCATTCTAATATGCTAATTTAAATAGAAATGTCATAAGAACAGCATTTATTTGAAACCAAAATCTTCTGTGACATTATAAATGTCTTTTACTTTAACTTTTTCTCAATTTTATGTGCCCTTGCTGAATGAAAGCATTCTTTTATTTCAAATCAACCCCAAACCTTTTGAACAGAAGTGTAGGTCAGTGACGCATAAGAGTATCCACAATAAAGTAAAGATCTAGTTTAAAACACATGTGCCAAGTTATATTAAATGAACTGTTTATATCAATGTTGGTTTCATTTGCTTTTGAAAAACTTTAAAGAAAACTGAAATGTCAAGTAGTGTAACTTTCAGGATTCAGTGTTACATGATCCTTCAGAAATCATTCTAATATGCTAATTTAAATAGAAATGTCATAAGCATTTATTTGAAACCAAAATCTTCTGTGACATTATAAATGTCTTTTACTTTAACTTTTTCTCAATTTTATGTGCCCTTGCTGAATGAAAGCATTCTTTTATTTCAAATCAACGCCAAACCTTTTGAACAGAAGTGTAGGTCAGTGACGCATAAGAGTATCCACAATAAAGTAAAGATCTAGTTTAAAACACATGTGCCAAGTTATATTAAATGAACTGTTTATATCAATGTTGGTTTCATATGCTTTTGAAAAACTTTAAAGAAAACTGAAATGTCAAGTAGTGTAAACATCAAGTAAAAAATAAATGTTTTGCATTAACTTAACAGTACTTTGAAAAGTTTTAAAATACATTTTAAGGGAAAAGTTTAAGCAAATATCATGAATTATTAGTTATTATTTCATAAATACTTTACGAACTGAACTAACCCTGCCTTGTCATAATAAAGGTCAAATTATCTGATTTAAAGACACTTATTGATGTTGACACACAATCATAAGCGTCTGCAGGAATCCTCATACAATATCACTCAGTGAAAAAAAGTTTTTCAAATATTAATAAGCCATGGAACGGTTTTGTTAAGAAATAAAACTACTTTTCAAGAATCATTTTCTATTCAAGAATTTGATTCCTTGAACGAGGGGTTATTATTCGAGGCATATCTAATTACAAACCGAAGCAGATAAGACTGGATCTGACAGTGAGAGAGAGTCTGAGTCATACCACATGACAGGTCTGGAGCTGGGCTTCTGCACGGGGTGTTGGGCCCAGGAGACAGGCTCGGCGTTGGAGAGTCAGACAGGCTGTCGTTAGGTGAGTGCTGAAAACCCGCTGAGAAACTGCGACTGTTCTGAATCCCCGGACTGTGTTTGGGCAGCTTCTTCAAAAGGTTTCGCCGTTTGCTAGAAAAGTTGGGCTTCAATTAGATTTTGTGTTTCAATGAGTTTTAACTAGTTTAAAATGTTCCAGAAGACACTACATCTTTCCAACCTGTCTTGACCCTCTTTCCTTTTACTCTTTTTACTGCGTCGTGCCATCTTCCCCTTTGAGCTGGTCTTTCTCGCAGGCCCTATTTTAATGGATGTATTCTCAAGAGGAGTCGTCTGCAGAGTCACTTTACTGCCACTCTACAAATGGAAAAATCAAGCATCTATACAAGTCCTTAATTAAAAAGCGCATGGACTGCCTTTAACTCTAGATCTATTTGAGAATCTCACCTTCAGCAGAAGCTCCACCACATCGGTGTGCACCAGACCCTGGATACACTCTCCATTCACGTGAGTGATGAGGTCACCAGCCCTCAGCCCGGCCTCGTGAGCAGGACTGCTGTCTTCAACGCTCTAGATCAACGGCGACACATAAAAGCGCATTTAAATGGGTCAAACCAAGAAAATGTTAGTACACTGGGTTCTGAGTATTGTTAACCATAGTGGGGAACCGAAATTAAATTATTTACTGAAACTGAAATTAAATTTTTGCTTTAGCCAAAAACATTTATGGCTTTCCTTGGGTATTAAAAAAAAAAGTAATATTATGTGACATTGTTTATATTGTGTCTTTCTGCAGTTGAAACACTGATTGAGCAATTATATGAAACATTTCACTAAGTCGTACTGTTTCTTTCAATATACCTTCTGATGTTCATTTTTGTTTATTTCATGCTATAACTAGTAAGGAAAAAGAAGAGATGTTCAGTTCACATGCTGCTTGAACTGAGGCAATGAGTTTCAGTCAATGATTTCGGCCCGCCAAAGCTGTTTAGGCAAAAACCAAAAGTTTTATTTTTTTTTGGGTGCATCACTAGTTAACTATGTTATAGAGTGGAGTGATTCACGCTGCATCCATAATACCCACCCAGACCATGTGGTGCACCGTGTAGACATCAGTGTCGCCCATGTAGACCCGAATGGCACGGAGCGCAAAGCCGTACTTCCTCCCAGAGCTGTGGATGACCACAGGAGGACGAAGACTGCTTACGCTGAGAGAGAGGTCTCGGTTGGGGGAAGAATCCCGAGACGAAGGATTGGATGAGAGGGAGTGTGAAGACATGGGGCTTGTCTGGAGCCCACCAGGGATGTCATCTACAGCGATAATACATGATCATATATAAGAGAAATGCCTCATAATAGCTGCAATATCCACACATTGGTATTAAATATCTAACACCATGTTTGTCAAGTCATGTTTCGCTTTCATCTACGTCAATAAGCTCTCTGTTCCTCTCAACTGTCCATTGTTCTCTTGAAACCACCTGCTTCACTTGTTTATTGTTGTAGTCACATGAATTACAGTTGCCTTCAGTGTGATGGTATCACATGATGGTACAACGTCTACATGAACACATCTGAGCTCACTGTACCTGCTGTGACGATGAGGGAAAGGCCAGACACGGATGCAGACTTGGGGACTTTGCATGTAAATGGTGAGCGTGGCTTCTCTGGGGTCTCCTGCTGGAGCCCGAGGCGACGCGGACCCTTGTGGTCCCTGCGATTAGTAGGTCTTGTTCCAGTGGAGTTACTGCGCAGACGAATTCGCCGGAGATTTGAGACAAGACCTTCTGAGAAAAAACAAATACATAAGAAAACTCAAATTGAGAATGAGCATTTACAGACTGACCAAGTCACCCTTTAATTTGGCCAAATATTAGATTAAAATATGCACAAAAACTGTTACCCTCATCCTCAGGAAAAGCAAAGTGTGGCATAGCCTCAAGGCTCTGAGTGCTGTTCAAAATTAGAGGACTAGTGCCCCTCTCAGGCTGAGAGGAACTGGATGATGCTCTCGGCCTCGGACTTGGACTGATTGAAAAGAAATATAACAAATTTTGACTTCAGGCAACTAAACAACATTTTGAAGACACAAGAATAAAAATACCTAGAATCATACAAAAATTATGACTGATTGAATATACACTTTGGACACATTTTTATTGCTTGTAAAAAAAACTGCATTATATCACTTTTCAACAGTGGTATACTACATGATTGTCACCAGTGTTATGGTCCCACTTAATATTAGGTGGCCTTAACTACTATGTACTTACATTTAAATTAATCATTTGGTACAATGCACTTATTGTGTACATACATCTCTTTACATTGTACTTATATTTTTTAAATACCTATATGTAATTACATCTGTAATTAATTTCTTTAATTACATTTATAATTACACTGTTGACCCATCCCTTACACCTTAACCCACCCTTAAACCTACCCATACCACCAAACCTGTCCCTATCCTCACCCATATCCCACCTCAATAGCAGCAAAAGTGTGTTGCAATACAATATGAACACAATAAGTACATTGTACTTATTTTTTGATGCAAGTACATAGTAGTTAAGGCCACATAATATAAAGTGTGACCAGTGTTATTTTAGAATTATTTATGTACACTATTATAATTTTATTTTTTTATTTTTGACTTCAATTTTAGTTCTATATTTATTTTATATCTATTAGATTTGTAAAAATATTTCTAAATAGATTTAATTTATTTTTAACTTTAGATTTCAGTTAACAATTTTTTGTATTAAAATGTTTAAATATGTTTATACATTTTTTCAATTAACAAAATAATTTTTTTAATGTTTTAGTTAACAACAGCAACACTGATAGTCACAAGAGATAATACATTTAAAAATTATAGTTGTAATTATTTGATCTTCTTATTGCATTGTGATAAATTAACCTGAAGTAGAGTGTATTGTATTAAGTCTCTTTCCAGAGGTTTTCTTCGAGGCGTTGTGGTTCCAAGACGATTCTAGGACACAAAATATGACACAGAAAACTCAAGAACAGAACAATACAACATCTATTTGACGGAAATTCAGATGTCACAAGTTAAAAAGATCATAAACTGGTCTAGATCATAAACAGTTTTTTTTCTCCACAAATAACAGTTAAGTCAACTTAACATAAAGGGGTGGTATTATGCTTTTTCAACTTTAGTTAAACCTAGTATGAGAGCCTGTTCTATTACCCCCCAAAACAAAATCAAGACTTTGTAAAAGAGCATAATAGGACCCCTTTAAGGTCAGTAAGATTTATTTTTTCCAATTTAATAAAACCTTGCTAAATAACGGTAAAGATATGCTACAAATTATTTCTGTTGAATACTGTTCTTTTGAACTGTCTATTCATCAAAGAATCCTGAAAACATGCATCACAATTTCCAGCAAAATATTAAGCACCAAAAAGCTTTTCAATATCAGAAATGTTTCTTGAGCAACAAATCAGCATATTAGAATGATTTATAAAGACACTGAAGACTTTAGTAATGATGCTGAAAATTCAGCTTTGCATTACAGGAATAAATTACATTTTAAAATACAGTAAAATAGAAAACAGTTATTTTAAATTGTAAAAACTATTTGAAAATATTGCTATTTTTACTGCATTTTTAATCAAATAGATGCAGCCTTGATGAGCATCTTTCAAAAACATCTTATGACCCAATGGTAGCACATTCAGATTTTACAACTGCTTTTAATGTGACCCATCCAATCTCAACTATAATGTACTACTATTCTGAGACAGTGTGAGAATCTGAAGTTGTTTCGATGGCAGACTTGAGCAAAGTAAGTAAAATTAGATCAAATTAAAAGTTAATTTTAAACAAAAAAATTAAAGGTTTACTACACATGTATGTGTTGAATTTTCACCAATATTACTGCAATGCACATTTGCTATTTCATTTTACAGCTATGCAATTAATCTTTTGAAAAAGAGACTTCTGAAATAGTTTGCTCCTTGACTGGGAAAGAAATTCTAAGCTTGAACCTCTTGGAAAGAAAAGTATGAGACCTCCAACAGTGTAGAGAAACAGTGAGCCATTTTAAGATTTTGTCAAGCTTTGATTTATTTTCTTACCTCTGCAGTGTCACCCAGTTCTCTGCTTGGGCTGCCTGAGTTGTTGTGCTCAAGCTGTACCATGTCTGAACCCAAAGACAAGAGAAAACTCATTCACTTGTTTGCCTAAGGCTAACATTTAATTACCCTTTACAACATAGACAAAAACAAATAATTTAAGGGTGAGGTGCTAGATAAATCATAATTATACCCTCCAGGGGGTCTCGGGTGAGACCCAATTGGCTGATGATGTATCGGGGGATATCAGTCTTGATGCCCTGGCCAATTTTTGCATGGTCTTCTGCAACTTCAAGACGCTGATAAAACTCCTCAGGGTCAAACTCCTGATGGTTAACAGAAACATGGTGTGTCAGCATTATATAAATGGCATTAGACTGAGTCCCAGTCTTCACACTGTAATTAATTACAAAAGGTAGATTAACCACAGGTGGTTTTCAAAATGCTATGGAACCCTCAACATTCTGCTGAGATTTTATGTGTGGGATTATATATATACACACAGGTGCATCTCAATAAATTAGAATGTCGTGGAAAAGTTCATTTATTTCACTAATTCAACTCAAATTGTGAAACTTTTCACAAACAGACTGAAGTAGTTTAAGTCTTTGGTTCTTTTAATTGTGATGATTTTGGCTCACATTTAACAAAAACCCACCAATTCACTATCTCAACAAATTAGAATACTTCATAAGACCAATAAAAAAAAAACATTTTTAGTGAATTGTTGGCCTTCTGGAAAGTATGTTCATTTACTGTACATGTACTCAATACTTGGTAGGGGCTCCTTTTGCTTTAATTACTGCCTCAATTCGGCGTGGCATGGAGGTGATCAGTTTGTAGCACTGCTGAGGTGGTATGGAAGCCCAGGGTTCTTTGAAACGTCTAGCTTTGCGGTCTCTCTCATTTTCATTTGGATGCACATCTTGCCACATTGTTTCTCTCTTATAACCTCATTATTTCTCACTAATAACCTAACTGAAGCAGCACATGCCCTTGATACGAATTCTAAAAGTGACGCATGTTTAACTGTCAACTTGAGCTTTGAATCCGTGGCGGAAGGAAGTAGTTCCACACAAAAGAGGGTTTTATTAGGCACTCCGTTTCTTGTTTAATAACACACATGTTCCGTTGATCTGTTGTATAAACGCAATATCACTCTCGTACTCGAGCAATACCAGCTCTATATCAGCGGCTGTGATTGCCTCGATTATTATTCGAATTCGAAATTATAATAATAATTTTTTGACACTACTTTTGCTGTAGTGTGTCATAGCAATTTTGCCATTAATTGTAATAATCCAGTGAGATTTTTGTTTGCACAAGGAGTCTGACTACAGCCAGTGCTCCACACAGAGATCTGATCTCATCATCTTCCAGTCTGTCTGGAATACATGAAGAAACAGAACAAACTGAAACTAAATCCAGAAGAACTGTGGCAACGTCTCTTAAGATGCTTCAAGAAACCTTACTGCAAAGCTACCTGAAAAACTATGTGCAAGTGCACCTAAGGCAAAATCTGCTTTAAACCCAAAGGATGGTCACACCAAATGTTGATTTAATGTAGTTAATAGATAAAGAAAATCTATTTATGACATTATTTTGACAGCATCCTCATTTTACAGCATTTATAAACAAGTGCCTAATACTTTTAACAGTGCTGTAGCTTTGCAGCTATATATATATATATATATATATATATACTATATATATATATATATATATTATATGTACTTTTCAGAACCATAAATTAAAAATGGTATTGGGGTCTCTTAGACCCAAACCAGAAAATAAGGTTTCCATGTGATAAATATAAATTCTTCTTAGTACAGAATCACAGTGTTAATCATCTTTTTACCAGACACTCCAGTAGTCTTGCTGGTCTGGAAATAATGATTAGAATCTTCTTCACGAGTTTGGCAATTACAGTCACTTCCTCACTCTCAGAGCGCTCATATGCCTGTGGGTAAAAAAAAAAAAACACTCAGGGCCAATGCAAATAAACTTTATGAGCACAAAACAAAACAGCCTACATTTTTGCATAAAGTTTGGTAGACATTACCATGAGTCAGATCTCAAATGGTAAAAGTTACAGAAATAAGTGACCCAATTTACTGTGAAAGGACAGAGAGAAGTAATCATGGAACAAGACCATAAAACCCCCTCAAGCTCCCAATGACATTTAAGACAAACAAGTCATTTAAAGGAATAGTTCACCCAAAAATGACATATTTGTCATTTTCAATTCACCCTCATGTCACTTCAAAACTCCAAAATGACAGCATTTTTTGTGCGGAACACAAAATAAAACTATGAAGAATTTTGTAGCTCTTTTCCATCAAACAGTTTATGTTGACAACGTCATTCATTTAAAATTATATAAAAAAATTTTTTAAAACCTGCCATAAGCAAGCAACTTGGAAAGGTAAATGGAATTTATTGCACCACGACCTGTTTCCTCTTGCTTAATTTAATCAGCCTCTTCCCTTCATTTGCTATTCATGACTTCAGAAACATGAAGCAAAAGCTCCTCAGGGAGAAAAAAAAAGTCTCTCACTTGCCCTAATTAACCATCCTTCCCTCCAGTGTCGACATGACTGCCTGGGCACACAAACACTGCAGATGACTAGTGTGCAATACTGCAATACTCTTCTCGTCAGACTCTTTCCAGAAAACTTCACATGACAACAGCAGCTTGGTATGAGGAATAAAAGCTGCCAGTTTATCTTAAAACAAACACATGGTAACGTGTGCCTGTACAGAGACAACATATTTCCATCAAATGAAGATACTCCAGTGCTTCAGTGCAGGATTTTGCCGAATGTCATTTTCAGATGGAATATGACAGAAACAGTGCTTATTAAAAGAATCATTCAGGACTTCAGGGGTCTTATGTCTGGAGCCATAAGGCTCTCAGTCAGTAATCATTCAGCAAAAATGCTTTTATAAAGACGGGCTGTGGCAGTATTAGTGATTCAGCTGAGAGTTGGAAAGAGAGCATTGAACCACCCAGCATGAACTACAGCACGGTCATGTTGTTGCAAACTAGGGATGTCAAATGTTGAAACTAGCATAGAAACGAGCACTGAAAGGAAGCTGCTTTTGAACACACATGATTTCTGCACATGCTCCGTGAAGAGAGCTTGTACCCAGCGGTGATGCGGCTGCACATGTAAGTGGTCAAAAGGCAAGTCTTGGCAAGACGTTCATGTAAATACAGTCAGTATGGCCTAAGTGCAATGTAAACAGGCAGGGCAAAAAAAAAACGCCTGGATATTTTATTACGTATGTGTTTTACGTAGCTAATATTACTGAAACAACACTGATCAAACAAAAGATAGAGGATAAAACCTTTCATTGCTTTGGCCTGGATAACTTTAGTAGCTCTAGTAAACTCTAGTAAACTCAAATGTTGACACAATTACCACAAGTCAAACTCCGACAGCATCGAATTAGTATGATTTTAAAATATCTCATGATTTTAAAGACTGTATCAATAATTTAAGTAGTTTTATTACACAATTGATACTGCCATTAGATATTATAAAAACCTTGGGCATGGTTTACTTAATCTGGATATTTTTCTATTGTTTCAGAGTTATTTATTATTTTAGAGATATTTGTTTCCGATGATTATAACCATTTTTTGTTGACACGTTCTTGAATAATTTCTTGTTTAGCCAACTTTATTTAATTGACATACACTACTGTTCAAAAGTCTTTGGTCAGTATGATTGCATTTGGTGCTCAAGAAACATTTATTATTATTTTCAAATGTTGAAAACAGTTGTGCTGCTTTATAATTTTTGTAAAAACTGGGATAAATAGAAAGTAAAAAAAAACTGCATTTATTTTAAATAGATTTGTAACATTATAAATGTCTTTAATATAATGTGTCCTTCCTGCATAAAATATGAATTTCTTAAAATAAATAAATAAATATAACCATCAGCAAAGATTTGAACGGTGGTGTACAGTACACTACTGTTCAAAAGTCTTTGGTCAGTATGATTGCATTTGGTGCTCAAGAAACATTTATTATTATTTTCAAATGTTGAAAACAGTTGTGCTGCTTTATAATTTTTGTAAAAACTGGGATAAATAGAAAGTTTAAAAAAACTGCATTTATTTTAAATAGATTTGTAACATTATAAATGTCTTTAATATAATGTGTCCTTCCTGCATAAAATATGAATTTCTTAAAATAAATAAATATAACCATCAGCAAAGATTTGAACGGTGGTGTACAGTTTTGTTTTAATATAAATTATTTTCATTAGTACTTAATTTAGTAGCCTAAATTATTCAAGAAAATGATTTTTTTTCAGTGAAATACTAGTATTGAGTAACAAAATTCTGGTCTTTTGTGACATTGCGATCTAGATCTATGAAAACCAACTTTTTTTAACAGATACAAATGTCAACAAAATGTCATTTTTTACTTCATTACAGGTATGGAATATGTTTCCACCTCATGTAGGAAATTTTCTAATTTTTCCTGAAGTTCCACAAAGTAGCTGGTTGTGATGAGCCCCTTTCTGGACTTCTCCAGACAGTCTCGGACGAGCTCAACCAGCTGGTGTTGAATGAAGCCCAGCACTCCATCAGCAAGAGGAGGAGCGCTGTCTGGGGAGTAGTCTGCAATCACTGCCAGCAAACGCCCCTCCATCTGAGCCGTAGCCTGCCAGAGAGATAAAACGCTGTGAGACTGCGTAGGTGACAATTGCCGTTTGTTTTGTTTGGACCAACCAGGCCACCAATTTTCCCACAGCCACAATTTAAACAAAGTAAACAACATGTGATGACATGACGTGGCGTCCACGTCCATGATGAAAAACAACATTTAAATGTCAGAGCTCAATTACCTTTGGAAACCGTTCTTTGTAGACGTGATTCATCATCACAATCTCGTTATCAAAAGAGCCACATGTCCGCCCAGGGCTACAAAACAAAACAATACTTCAGTTACATTAAACTGATCACATCTACTTTTATAATTTTACACAAATAACATTAAATGAATAGTTCACCTCACAATTCTTTCATCCTTTACTCACCCTCATTTCATTACATACCCTGTTCATGACTGACTGACTTCTATGAAACATAAAAGAACTGTGAAAGTCTTGGTTGCTTTTTTCAGTGCAATTACACTGAATGGGGACTGAAGACACCATAAAACAATTAGAAAGGTTCTCAGTATGACTTGTGCACCAGTGTTATTATATTTTTTAATATATACATTAAAAAAATTATTTAAAAAATGGTTTCAGTGATTTAAATAAATCTGAAATAAAATATATTAGATATAGATAAACATAAACCTAAAATTATAAATGCTGTCTTTATATTTAAATATAATATTCAAAAGCACTAATAAAAAATATATAATGAAAACTAAATAAATAAATTATTCTAAATATTAATAAATACAATAATAGCAAGTAAAAATATACTAAAATAACAATGTTGTGCAGTATATTTGAAGTCTCCACAGATCTTATGGTAACTTTGTGTGAGGAAAATGACCAAAATTTATAACACTTTTGCCTCCTCTCTAAAGCTTCAAACCCCATTCATTGTAATTACATGAAAAAAAATCTTCCAAAGTCTCCCAAAATTTCCCCTATAAATTTATAAATAAAGTGATACAAGTAGTATAATTTTATTGGGTCATATTTTTGAATTACCAGTTTGCCAGAGAAATGAATCATTGTTTGAAACATTAAATCTGTATGGATTAGCCATGCCAAATGTGTCAAGCAGGGCGGATTGTTAAGCATTAGCTAATTACAATACGGTGTTAGCAAACTTTTTCCCCTGACTGTATAAGAGCAAGTAAGTGAGTAATACTCTGGCACGTACAAGCCAAACTAATCTTTCATCCTTATTCACTTGGTATCATGAAATTCAAAAGTTAGAAATAAGATTTCACATTTCTACACAAGTTTAGCTCTTCACAAGCTAACCGAATTGCAAGATCTCTATGCAAATGCAGCATTTCACATTCAGCTGATTTTCTCTAAATCTTGTTTTTTTTCTACAACAAATAGAGACCTAAGGCTCCGTGAGCGAGGACGGAAAGGCGAGGGCTGTCCATCCTCATCTGCCACACTCTCTGAGCTCCTGAAATGCTTGAAGAGGCGATGGAGGTCATCTGGGGTGGGCTGAGAGGGCAGCTGGTGCAGGAGCTCCTGTGAGGAGGAGGAAGACTAATGCAGAAGAAAGAGTGAGAGAGACAGAAACAGCCAGATTCAGACAACAAATCACATTTACGTGTGCCTGTTGCGTCACCCTAACATTATGGATGTGTAAAAATATAACAACAGTTGTTTAGCAACGAATATACAAAAATCTGCATAGTATGCTCAGATTGCATGAAACACAAGTGCTGAGCATCTGACAGTCTAAAGCTGATTATTAGTGTGTGCAATTATGCAATACAACTACAGGACAGGATGCTTTCCATTCTGGTCTGTAGCTGTCTGCGGTATAGATGGTCATTTAAAACTGAAAATCTCGGGAAAAGAGAATAAGTAGAAGAGCACATGACAGGACCAGTGCTGGAAGGAGGAAACCAGAGAAGCTTCACAGCTTCCCTCTGAATAAAGTCTTCACTGACACTAGCTCAATAGGACATTGTTAAACAAGGCTGACCTCATCGCATGAGCCATGAATGGCGATATATCATTCCAAAACAGAGAAAGGGGCTATTCTTTGTATGATTTCCTTTCAAATAAATCAATGAAATTAATCAATTTCCACCACTGAGAATTACCCACAATGGTCAACCCTGTAGTTAAATAACTACAGGTTAAATAACAAATGACACTGACCAATGGAATTCTATGAATTTCAAGGCATTTTCATGGCAAAGACAGCGAATAATCAGTTCAAATTACATAATTAAAATTACTAAACATATTTAAAAGAGTATAAAGATTACTATTATGATTTTATCGTAATTTTATAGAAAGCAATATCTAGCCAATTATATTTTAGAACAGAACCTATGATGAAAAAAAGGTATATTAATTAACAATATTCCCCATAATTTTCCATGATTTTCTTATTTTATTTTATTAATTTCCATGACACTTTTTCAGGAATGGAAATCACCATTTTTCCACAATTCATATTTCAATGTTACTGTAGACTCTGACTACATGAACACTGTAAAGTGCATCAATATTAATAAAGAAATCTAGCATGCTGTGCACTTGTTACTCTCTTTTTCAACTAGCTGCACTAATTCTGCAGTTAAAGTGCACTCCAAAAGCAAACTATCTACAGATAACACATTTAATATACGATGGTTTAAACATCTGCTCTGTGCATTGTTTGATTACATAAAGAAAAACACTGCAGATGAACTGGAATGATGGCTCAAGAAAAGGAAAACAAAGAGGGTCTTTTCAGAAGAGTTGAGAGGGGCCCACTCACTGAAACGGCAGAACTGGGTGGATTGGTTCCATATCCAGAGGAGACAGATGCCACAGACCACCTTCGTGTGTCTGGTCTAAAATAGGACAGAGATACAAGAAAACATGTCGGTAAGGATGTTTTCCTTGAGATTTCCTTGAACCATTGAGATAGTTATACAAACTATTAAAGTGTAACACTGTAAAGTGCATCAATATTAATAAAGAAATCTAGCATGCTGTGCACTTGTTACTCTCTTTTTCAACTAGCTGCACTAATTCTGCAGTTAAAGTGCACTCCAAAAGCAAACTATCTACAGATAACACATTTAATATACGATGGTTTAAACATCTGCTCTGTGCATTGTTTGATTACATAAAGAAAAACACTGCAGATGAACTGGAATGATGGCTCAAGAAAAGGAAAACAAAGAGGGTCTTTTCAGAAGAGTTGAGAGGGGCCCACTCACTGAAACGGCAGAACTGGGTGGATTGGTTCCATATCCAGAGGAGACAGATGCCACAGACCACCTTCGTGTGTCTGGTCTAAAATAGGACAGAGATACAAGAAAACATGTCGGTGAGGATGTTTTCCTTGAACCATTGAGATAGTTATACAAACTATTAAAGTGCTGGTTGTTTTAATAATTGAACAACAACAACAAAAAACTTAAATCAGCCACATTAAATTCATATACACTACCATATAAACTAAAATTCTTCATATAAATAAAACGTTTGGGGGTCACAAGATTTTTTTTTTTAATATATATTTTTGAAAGAAGTCTCTTATGCTCACCCAGGTTGCATTCATTTCATCAAAAAACAGTAAAGATAGCAATATAGTGAAATATTACTACAATTTTAAATAACTGCTCTCTATTCTAACATATTTTAAAGTGTAATTTTTTCCTGTAATGACAAAGCTAAAACTTCAGCAGCAATTAATCCAGTCTTCAGTGTCACATGATTCTTCAGAAATCGGTCTAATATGCTTTGGTTTACAAGTTTGTCTGCAACATTTAAAATGCTATTTAAATAAAAAAACTGTTATTTTAGCTATTTTAATAAAAAATACACTAACAGCTAGACTAATAGAAAATAGTAATAAAATATCAAAACTTGAACACTTGAAGTTCTTTCAAGAACTTACATGACCTCTACCCAGTCATATTATTTATCCACACATAGATGCATACTTTTAGGGCACATTAAAGACACAACCAAAAACAACTCATTCAATTTTCATTGAGCTGTACAAGGAGGCTGGTAGGGTCCCATCATTTCAAACAAGCATTAATAAAAGCGGATGGAGCCTCAGTACATAATCACGGCAGCGTAAAGTAATGAGGCTACATGCTGACTTCACTATAATTGCTGTGACAAATGCCAAGCTTCCCATCCACGGTACAGCCTTGAGGGCAGCTGCAGCGAACGCAGAATCTTATTGGCCAGCTAGAAACCTTTCCACTCATTCCTTGCTTTTATACTGGCATTATGAAAGGGCAGATATAAGATATAACACAAAGGACTAATGCAAATACATTTGGAAATGTTTGTAGTACACAGTCTCATTCTGCTCAGCTCTTACCTACGTATGAATGGAAAATTGACCGAAGGACTGCTGGAGACATTTCTGGGACTGTCCAACGGACTGCTGCCTGTAGGAAACACACCTTCTATGATCAACATGCACATTATGGTTCTTTTACAGAGTTAATGGATGCTAAAGTGGTTCTGTATTGCCTGGCAGTCATTTTCCAGGCTTTGTTGACAGTGTTACTGGCATTGGCATATTCAAACAGTCGGCTGGATGTGCAAGCATGTTATGCTACCCTATATTTATCATCAAGCACAGTGTAAATCAAACATCATTATCATAATTGAGAGAGAAGCTAAAATAAGTAATTATAGCTACCAGTTGGCAAAGGAAGGGGTGAGAGCGGTCTTGATAGAGTAGGTGAGGGAGCCAAACTCTTCCTCTTGTTCCGGTTACTGTAGAAAGAAAACGCTTGTTCTTGTTAAAGGCAAAAATACTCCGTTTTCACAACACACATCATTATGAAACCCATCTATAGGGATGGTCCGTTAATGTCTCTAGTACTGGAACACAACCTAACAATGAGTTTACAAAAACATTTAGTTAGACCTGGTGTCACTGAATCAACGTTGAATGTCTTCGGCTTCTTTGAACAGGCCTGTGTACATTTATTATATTGTAGAATTGATTGTGACAATTGGCATTAAAGACTTTGAACTCAAAGGTAAACTCGGTAAGGTTTCGTTTAGCTGGCTCTTATTCATCCCAATAGTCACATAGCACCATTGGTTTTTGGCTTTATATTGACACCTTTTAGCCTAGATGCATTCCTTCATCTTCAGAACACAATTTAAGATATTTTTGATGAAGTTTGGCAACTACCACGTTCAAGGCGTCACATGGACTGATGTCACAATGGCCCATTTTAATGATGTCTTTACTACCTTTCACTAAAATATCACAAAATATCTTAATTTGTGTTCTGAAGATGAACAAAGGTCTTACAGGTTTGGAACGACATTAGGTTGAGTAATTAATGACAGAATTTTCATTTTTTGATGAACTATCCCTTTAAGGTTTTGTTTCATTTTATTTGTTATATGGTTTTCAATGGCAGTTTGTTGAATGGAGGCAATTTGACCGCGCACTCACAATATTGTGCAGTTGCAGGTCGTCATTAATGGTTTTAGACATTTAAAGTCATGTGACATTAACATGGCAGCACCCATGAAGGGGCGACCCTCTCTATGCAGAATAAAACAGCTTTTTCCTTTATCTCATGTGAGCATTCATCAATTGAATTAGATACATACACATATTAAAGCACGGTTTCTTTCTCAATATGTAAAACTTTTTAAATTTGCAAATATTTGCATCGTTCAACATTTACATGCTTTTTATTATACTTTTTCTTTAAAATCATTTAGTACATTTTGTTCTGTTTATATTAAAAATAAGTATTAAAAATAAACATTAAAAAAAACGAATTTCACCTCAACGCCCTTAGAACTTTTGACTACAAATTAGCCTACTATCGAGTACACTAACTACACTTTGTTGACAAAGACTTCAAAACGAAAGATAACAATGACACAGTCATCACAGACCCTCCATACATACGGTTAAACTGTATACCAACATTATGTAAAGACTAGACGACAGAATATGACCATCCACCGCCAACAGGACAATGAGCAGCAGACGCTCAGCCGTACATGGGCCACGTTTACTATCGGAAACAAGAACGGGCAGGGTGGAAAAACTGTGTGTATGCTCTCCACAACGAGATCGAGAACGTTAAAGCGGATATTTTCAACCATCATAGTAGTTATGTGGGATTTTGAAAGACTGATCTAGTTTATCAAGCACATTTCTCGCGGTTGCGCCTGTGGGATTTTTCCAAGTTAGAGCAAGTTTGGCGGACCAACCTTGACGATTAATAATCAGTCACAACGAAAACATACAGTAGCATGCTTAAACTCGTCGTTACCTCTTGGGTCGTTTGACTAAACCTCCTGAAACGAACTGACTTTTATAACTCGGACACACCGTCCAGTAATTCCGATCAGACATGATGTCGGTGTGCTCGTCTTCGTTGTCCCCGCGGTTAACAAATCCTCATCGATGAAACACCGCAGCATTGCGACGAGTAAAAGCAGTGAAGTCTAATGTAATTGCCAGGCGAACTCCATGTCGACACAGACTCCATTGCATGCAGTAACGTTAGACAGAAAGCGCCTTAAGTACAGCAGCGCGATGCCATCATCGTCGCGTTATTTTCTCACAAGTGACACATTGCCACATTGGTTTGGAAAATGCCATCGTCTGTATATACTCAAGCCCTGTCACCGCTAAACGGCTGCTGCTCCCAGGTTTAAAGGTATCGCAACACAACTGTAACGATTTCAAGTTTAGTGCAACAATAAAAGAAAAGCGGAGTGGAGGAAGTTGTCATAGAGTCTGACTGAAAGAAGGGGTCTTTGGTGGGGTTTGAACGTCACCGTGCCGGTGCTACGAGATTTTCGGTTTCAGTGGGCGGAGCAAACATGAATATTCATGAGTTTCCCGGACATGCGCGTGGAATCAGGTGGATCTGAGAATTTCAGTTCACGCCCCTTGTATCTCAGCAGGTTTAATGGAATATTTAAAAAAAGGTAAATATTTTACAGCGTTGCACAAACCTATGCCTAAACTACATTTGTTCATCATTTTCTAACAGTTTATAATGTTTTTATTAGTCACTGACTGAATGATTGCAGACATTAAGCACACTTAAAGGGGTCAAATGATGCTGCTAAAAAGAACATTATTTTGTGTATTTGGTGTAATGAAATGTGTTTATGCGGTTTAAGGTTAAAAAAACACATTATTTTCCACATACTGTACATTATTGTTTCTCCTCTATGCCCCGCCTTTTTGAAACACGTAGATATTTACAAAGCTCATCGGTCTGAAAAGCGAGGTGTGCTGTGATTGGCCAGCTATCCAGTGCGTTGTGATTGGCCGAATACCTCAAGCGTGAGACGGAAATGTTACGCCCCTTGCCATACTGTGATGATGCCCTGTCAGGCCGGAGCGATGATTCAAAAACATGAAAACCCATTATAAACGAGGCATTTGTTGCATCCAGTGGGGACATAATTATAGATTATAATGACTTATACTGTCTTTTTACGTGTTGCGTTGCATCGCGCAAACATAAAACCATGTCTGCATTTGTGATCGGAGAAATGACAAACAACAAGCCCTACTCTACACTGCTCAAAAAACTCGCTTTAAATATAAAAAATATCAAATATAAAAATTCTTTAAATATAAAAAACAATCTGTGAGTCAGAACAGCCGGCATTGTAGTCTTCTCTACCAGGATCAGTAAACAGTCCTCCATAATATGTGCTGCACACATCTGAATATTTGGGTTGAAGTGTTCTGGAACAGTGTTGTAAATACAACTTAACCACTGATTTCTAGTCGTGTCCATTTTTGGAAAGTCAAACAAAGTAGTTTCACTTTCACAATGAAACACAGCGTCACACACGGTGGCCTACAGTGAGGAACGGCCGGAGGGCTAGAGTAAACAGAGGCGGTGGGCTTGAGAATGGCGCGGCCAGCAGATTCGACGAAGGTGGCTTGCGGCAACCACATGTGACGACCCCGGGCTGGATTCCGCTTGGTATGACGAAGCAATATCGTCCTCTTTTGGAAGGCCAAACAAAGTAGTTTCGCTTTCACAACGAAAACACACAGCGCCTTCACGACATGGTGGCGGCAACAACAATACTACAGCAAGAATAAAAGCTACGCCTTCCTTCTTTGCGTGAACATTTGGGCGACGTTATGCAAATCTTGTGGGGGCGTGTTAGAACGAGCCGTTTTAGGTAGGCGTGGCTGACTCTTAACTTTTATAAAGAATATCTCTTTGGATTTGAAACTTTAGTCTTTGCAACTTTACAGATATTCTTTATGCACCAAGAGCTTGTAACACTCCAAAGAGAAAGGAAAAATTGAAATCGCATCATATGACTCGAATATCGAATCGAATCTTAAAAATATTCTTAAATAATCGAATAAATACCGATAGATATAAAACAGTAGATATTAGACAGATAATAGATTATTACATATCTACACATGTAGATATTGCAGACAGATAAATAATTAACTCATGTCCTGTTATTATTTTTTTCTGACAAATTATTTCTTATAATGCTTAAAACGTAAAAATATTTCATGTATTTTGAATATGTATATTAATAGATATATTAATAGAATATTGATTTAAATATAAATACAAAAAATGTCAAGAGTTTTTGATATATGTTTTTTAAATTATGATATCTATTAGTGCAAACATTAATTTAATTTGCTTCGCATGCATACTTTTTAAATGAATTAAAAATTCCTCAATGCAGACTTTTTGATTTTTTTAATATTAATACAACATAAATACTAAAATTGTCAAAAGTGAATTAAAATTAATGAATGAAAGTATAATGGAAAGTAAATGGAAGCTAAAAATGACAGTGACAAAATATTAGAGTAAGAAGCCTACTCACATATTTCCTCTGCGTGGAAGGCTCAGTTCCTTCTGGAAAGTAATAAAGACTGAGTTAATTTAAATAACTGAAGTCATGCGTATCAAAGTGTGGTTTAATGGAACCACAAATTTTGCTTTTAATATTGCATGAAAATAAAAAGCTTGAGTAAGAGGGGTCTTGGATTTCAAGAGAATTAAATAAGATGGGGAAATTAGGCCATGATCATACTCACAAAACAATAGTCAAATACTGAATTTTAAAGACTACACTACTTATCTTTGTGACATTGCTTTCAATTCTTTAAAACCTACATGAGTTCTGAACCAGAAACAAATCTTCTAGTCCACTTAGAGCTCAATCCTGAGGAAGATGCAAGGTTTGTCTTATACAAGGCAAACATTCACATTTTTCAGTTCAACACACTCAAACTAAACTGTAGTCAACATAATGCTACACAACTAATGAAAATAGAGCAAGTTTGATTTTGTATTTCTGGATCCAGTTTTATCACTGACTCTTGATTTAATGCTTATAAAGCTTTAAGGTCCTAATTCATAATTATCATAATCAAATTATGCTATAACCTCACAAAATTAGTAGAGGCCAAGTTCCTAGCCAGTCCTGAAAACTGAAGCTTCATTGTCTCATTGTCCCTTTTTGGCTGGAGAATCACTGTCAGTGGGCTCAGGCCACTGAATATTTGGATGGACATCAGAAAAATTCATCAGGAAATATGAGGCCAAATGAATACTTCATTAGTTGCAGGGCTGGAGTGTATAATCTTAAAACTTCTAAATGAATCCCATATAAGCTTAGCAGAAAAGCTTAAGTCCTTATGTGGAGACACACATAAATCATCCCCTTGCTATTTTCTTTAGCTCCATTACAAATAATGCTCAAGCCAAAAGCAAAACCATTTCCATAAATCCATTTGTGATGGAGGAATGACTATTACATTAATCAATACATGACTAAGATCCAAAGCTCAGCCTTATGGACACTCCTTATGCACCCTTCAGCTTTTAGATACATTTGCCAGCCCTCAGAAGTTGGAGATGTTTGGGCCAGCTAATTTTATTTTAACAGGGCTAGCTTTGGCTTTTACCATGCTGTCGTGTTCCAAGGGCACTGTCAATGTAGTGTACTTTGTCGCTTTGAATGAATGTCTTGTAGATGACCAATTACAAAGGTTGTCTTGTTTAGTCTCCGCCTGTTCTGCGCCTAACTTTTCCTCAAGGATGCTCTTTATTAAGAAATAAGCTACTCTTTCTGAAAGATGTGCTTTTAAAAAAGCAACTGTATTTATTTATATATTTCACAGTACTTGATTTTTGCCAAAGTGAAGCCCAGAAGTGCACTGGCTTCATTAAAAATAAAATCATCCAGTTTCATAGTAAACAAATAGTCTATACACTGGCATTGCACAATGATGTGAAACTCTAATAAAGCTCTAAAACATAAGTGCTGTGCCATCTGACATAGGTCAAAACTAGTGCTGTCAAACAATTAATTGTGATTAATCGAATGCAAATTTAAAGTTTTTGTTTGCATAATATATGTGTGTTCTGTGTATATTTATTATGTACATAAATACACACACATGCATGCATATACTGTATTTACATGTCTATATAAAAACATAACATATTTTTCTGAAATATACATGCATCTGTATATATATATATATATATATATATATACATAATAAATATACACAGCATACATACTGTACATATATTATGTAAACAAAAACTTTTATTTTGAATGCGATTAATCATTTGACAGCACTAGTCAAAACCCATAACCTTTGTGTCACTATGTTCTGTTTTGCACAATCACAAGCAGTTGTGGATGATGAAACAGCAAGAGTCAGAAATTCAGGTTTACCTCTGTGTAACAGGTTAGACCTGACATGTGTGGACAGAACATCAGACAGCCCATTCACAACAAGAAAATAACTGCAATCATACCTGACCAACATCCATCCATTTGTAACATCCTGATAGTAGATGTTGTAATTCTGTGTTACAATGTAATGGATTTATACATGAGGAAAGAAAGTATACTTCCATGTCTGGCTTCTAATGTTATCTTAATTCATTAATGATAATGAATGTAATTTTCATTCATTCATAATAATGAATGAAAATACAATGCTGACCAGACAGGGAAGGTTGCAACTACATCCATAAAAAAAAAAATTAGACCCAGATTTGTGACACACACGCACACACACACACACACACACACACACACGTTTACCTAGTTAATGGGGACATTGCAGAGACTTCTTGTTTTTATATTGAGCTAGTTCTAAATACTTTAAATGGGTCATATGATGTTGCTAAAAATAACATTATTTTGTGTATTTGGTGTAATGAAATGTGTTTATGCGGTTTAAGGTTAAAAAACACACCATTTTCCACATACTGTACATTATTGTTTCTCCTCTATGCCCCGCCTTTCTGAAACGCATCGATTTTTACAAAGCTCACCAGTCTGAAAAGCGAGGTGTGCTCTGATTGGCCAGCTATCCAGTGCATTGTGATTGGCCGAATACCTCAAGCGTGTGACGGAAATGTTACGCCCCTCACCATACTGTGATGCCATCTCCCGGCGTGATGAGACTAAACATTAAAACCCATTATAAACGAGGCATTTGTTGCATCCAGTGGGGACATAATTACAGATTATAATGACTTATACTGTCTTTTTACGCGTTGCATTGCATCGCGCTGTGTAAACATAAAACCATGTCTGCATTTGTGATCGGAGAAATGACAAACTACAAACGCTACTCTACACTGCTCAAAACTCACGTTTGAATTGTCAGTGGCAAATAGTTTAAATATAAAAAAGGTACTTCCAGTCTGACACACAGCGTCACACACGGCGGGCTAGAGTGAGTGGCGGCCGGCAGACTTGGGAACGGCGCGGCCGGCAACGCCCCCCTAAAACGGCTCGTTCAAACACGCCCCCACATATCTACCTCACTATCTTGGAAGATTAGCATAATGCCGCCCAAATGTGCAGCAAAGAAAGAAGGTGTGGTTTCAGGAACAATCAGTAGTGTTGATGCAGCCATGTCAGGGAGACGCTGTGTCTCAGTGCGAAAGCAAAAGCACTTTATATACCCCTTCCCCTTCCCCTACCCCTCCACCTACCCCTTCCCCTTGAAACAGAGTGTCAAGGGATAGGGGTGAATATATTCCCCTAAGAATTGGGACACCACTTAACTGTCTTGATATTTACTTTGAAAGCTGAAGCGATTATGGTAAGGGGCGTTACATTTCCGACGTGTGCTTGTGGTGTTCGGCCAATCACAATGCACTGGGTCAGCTGGCCATTCAGAGCAGACTGCGCTTGTCAAAGGAGGGGGCTTTGTTGAAAACAATGTGTTTGAGAGAGGCGAGGCATAGAGGACCTACAATAATCTACAGTATTTGAAAAATTATGTGTTTTTTGAACATTAAAGCATGTCAACATATTCTGTAACACCAAATACACAAAATAATGATCTTTAAAAAAGCATCATATGACCCCTTTAACCATAACTGTGTAATGTTAATCAGAGACCTGTGTTTAGGCGTGTGTTTATTGGTCGATTTGTTTGGGTTAACTTTAGCTACAGAAGTTTAGCTATGAAGATCCATAGAGGTCATTTACAGTTTTCTGTCTGGTAGCTGTACTTGTAATTAATGTGATAAACTTTACCATGCATGGTATCTCTTCATATCCGTTTTGCAATGCAATTGTTTTGAACTGACATTTGCAAAACTTTTTCATATATTGTACCAAGGATGTCAAATATATTAAATGTTGTCCCTTTCAATGTCATTGGTGCATACAGCTTCATATTTGTTGCATTTTAGCTTTTGATAAATGGAAAAGTTTTGCTAATGAAACATTCCCATTTTCAGAGTACTGGAATAATTTGGGCAGTTAGCCTGGCACTGTCAGTCATGGGATATTGTCTGTCACCAAGTGGCACCACAATGCTTTGATGTAACAGTGCAGCATTGATTGAAACAACATCACAACACAGCATAAGCTGCTCTTTGTCCCCCTCTGCTCTCCATTTATACACAGAACACAATCTTTAAATGTTTTTTAATGACCATTACAATGTGAATTCTTGGTTGTTTTTAATACCCAAATGATTCTGAGTGCACATTTTTTATTTTATTTAAATTTTTTATTTCATTTTAAATTTGTGTTTTAATGAACCAAATAGTTTCCTTTTAGTAATTTTTTTGCACATTATTTATTTATTTATTTTCTGTGGAGTTATTTGTTGTGGTAAATCAAGGGGAGTGTGGTCTTTACAGTCCACTGCTTACTGTCCTTTCCATTTACTGTCTGTGTCTGATGCACAAAGACAGGATCGTTTGTGCTTGTTAGAGTTGTTTGAGCATGACAATTATTGTATTATATCCGGCTTTTGAGGCTGAGCTTTTTCATGCTTCCTACCCAATTCATAATTCAAGAAATGTATCAATGTTATGAAATTGTTTATGACGAGGTCTAGCAAATGTATTAATTTTTAAGATTTTAGTACATTCATAATAGGTATAAAGATTTTTGTGACAGAATTTAGAGCTGTGACTCTCTGCAGTGGTTAAGGGGTTTTTGGAATTTTGCGTTATTTATTTATTATCTTATTTATGTCTTCCTGTACCTAAAAAAGTAACATTTTAATATTTTGGCTCTTCCAAAAACAGGCAATGTGTCTAGCTTTTTTTCTGTTCAGTGTTTGCTATTTTCCACAGTAACCACTAGAGGGACTAATTCCTCTATGTACTGTACATCTTAATAAAGGCCAACGTCTGACACCAAAAACTAGGTGTCAGATAAATGGAGATCCTCTTTCTTTATCATCCCCTCTCTTTATCGTGAAGCTGAGATTTGTGTCACTGTTGCTTACACATACTTTTACTAATGTATGGACTGCAGGGGAACAGATGGACAAACATTTTCATTAGGCTACTTTATAAATAGCAATGTTGCTAGAATGAACTATTAACCCATAGGGTGAACACAGAACGGCTCTATAGGTGGGTGTCCTACAGAGATGGAAATGAATGGGGGCATGAGGCAAAAAATGCCCCCCAAATTCAACATAACAATGCAAAACAATTAAGCCAAAACGATTATGGCTGTCATGATTAGTGAAATGTGAAAATGAATAAAACTTGTCGATTGCGGCTTTGCATTTGGATATGCACTAGTTTCTTTAAAGATTTCCTTTTACTGTTGTTTTTTTGCAGCGTTGAGCGCTATAACCAATCAAACACGTATTTGTTGAGCACATGAATGCAACCGCCAATCAGAGACGTTTAGATTAGTCATCGGTGAAGAAGAAATGCTGGGATTTTGTTTAGTGTGCGCTCCGACGATATTTTTCCATTTTTTCAATAAAGTTGTAAACAAGAAAGTGCACATACAATGTAAAAAAAAGATTTATTTTGCAGTGCAGACAGCTTCATTGATTATAACGGGAGTTGTTGCGAGATCGCTAGTGAGCTTGAGATGAACTCACTGACCATTGAAGTGAAGGGAACGTTCTTTGTTTGCTGTCTGTAATTTATTGCCAGTTTGAATAACAGTTTTGTTTTTCAATCTACTAAAATAATGTGAAGTCCTACATTTTCTATAAAAAAAAGCAATGAACTAATTTGGTTTTCGGCCTGTGTTTGAACTTGAATTATTCTGTTTCTCCACAATTAACCAATTGCAGTGCATTCTGTAAATCGACAACATTATAATAATTATTACAATATTAATGGCAATACTCGACCATGAGGATTTTGTCATAATATTGCAACCCTACCCGAAACATTACATCTATGCCGGCTTTAAGCAGCATTTAATAGTCTGTGTAATGTGTGATGTCATGTCAGGCTTTAGTTGGCCTACCACTTTGGCAATGTAAAGATGGCTTTTGTTGAAGCTAATCAAATTTTATTGGCAACAGAATACAGTATTCTGATTGATTGATTGATTGTGTGTGTGTGTGTGTGTGTGTGTGTGTGTGTACAGCTCCAAAGTCCTAAGTCCAAGACAAATTTCACTTTGGGGTGACCGTAAAAGTCATATTGACATGATGTCATTGTGCAGGGAATGGTTACTTGTACGTGAAGTTTCAGTGTGGGTGTAGATGAGCAGTCGTCTCCAGTGGGGTGTGGCCTGTACCTGTATAAATGAAAGCATGCCTGGAATGTCATTCATTGCACTGACCAACACAAAGACAGCACAAACAAAACGAACTTGCCATGCAGAACTCAGTAGCACAGTGCTTTCTCCTTTCTGTTGGGGCTGTTATTTTTAGCTCTTGTCTGAGAGAGTCTACAGCTCAACGGGAGCATGAGGAAACGTACCAGGGCCTGCAGCTTGAGGCTCTGAAGAGCATTATTCTGGAGTACCTCGGGATGGATGCGCCACCCGGGCCTGGTGGAAGAGCTTCTCATCAGGACCTGGTCAGGATGTACCGTCAGTATAGGAGAATGGGATACTTGCTTAAGGGCAACTCCAGTGAGGAACAGGAGCTTCAGCCAGCAAAAAGAGCCTCTACGGTGCTCTTTCCCACAACAGGTAAACTATAAAAACAGTTGTTATGTAAAGTATAGTGAAATTGTGTAGACTTAACTTTTATGTGTGGACTAAAAAATTTATATATTATATTTGATTTTATTCATATTCCTTGGACTCCAGTAGTTTAAAAATAAAATTTATAATTTTTTTTATACATTTATATTTAGTTTGCTTTGTCTAATTTCAATGTTTAATTTTCTTTATTTTTAACCAAATTTTAATGTTACTATAGATAGGTAGAAATACACATAGATTGATAAATAGAAAGATAAATAGATAGAAATGCTCACACGTGGATGGATAGATAGATAGATAGATAGATAGATAGATAGATAGATAGATAGATAGATAGATAGATAGATAGATAGAT